TCTGTTTTGTTTTTTAATAAAGATTAAATGGAACAAAGGAAATAAGCTACTGGACAAAAGTTAAGGAACGATCTTATTAATACTTGATTGTGAATAAAATATCAACAAAATTTAATATTTGGTAAACATTCCCTTATTTTCAATGACTTCTCTGCATCGTCGACCACATGATCTAATTAATTTCTTGCAAAAATCAGCAGTAATTCCCTCCCATTCGTCTTTCAATAACTCCCATAGGTGACCCTGGTTTTTCGTGTTTCATTTATGAGCCCTTTCTCCAATTATCTTCCAAACATTTTCTACTGGATTCAGGTCGGGGCTCTGGGCTGGCCACTTCATTAGGGCGATTCCTTCTTCTTCAAATGAAATCATAACCTTCTGAGCCTTGTGGAAAGGTGCGTTGTCTTGCATGAAAATAGGAGATTCATAAAGATTATGGTGTAATCTTGGTACCACATGCTGCTGAAAAAGCCTTTTGTAAATCTCAGCATTGATATTGCCATGTACGCGGACGATAAGGCCAACTCCTGCAGATGAAATCATTCCCCACACCATCACACTGCCACCACCAAACTTAACGGTTTTCTTGACACATTGAGAAGACAGTCATTCACCTGTTCTACGGCGTACGTAAGTTTTGGCCTCAGAACCAAATATAGCAAACTTGGACTCGTCACTGAAATGAACTGTATTCCATTGTGCGTCAGTCCAAACAACATGTTCTCTCGCATACTCCAGACAAAAATTTTTGGTTTCGCTTTGAAATGAGAGGCTTCGAAGCTGGAATACGGGCATGCAATCCTGCATTTTTTAACCTGCGAGCAACCGTTTTCCTTGAGATCTTATTATCTGTCTCTTCATTAAATTTACGGGCAATTCATGTGGCAGTTTCAAAACGGTTTTTGTAGATATTCTAACAATTCTTCGATCTTCTCTTTGCGATGTTTTTGGAGGTCTGCCGGTTTTTGGTTTTCCATCTTATGTTTTATCGGTTTTATACCTGCTAATTTCACGATGAACGACACTTTTAGACCTATGAACAATATCAGAAATTTCTGAAATTGACTTTTTTTCTTGATAGCGATAATGAGGTTTTTTTTCTTCAAAAGAGAGCGTTTTGCGTGTAGAATTTGCCATATTGCTTAAAAATAAAGTCCTAATGATAAATGAACTTTTACTTATTGTTGAAAAGCTCCATCGAGTTTTTTAACAATGTAAATTAAAAGTTTATGCAAATTATTAACATCGTTCCTTAACTTTTGTCTAGTAGCTTATTTCCTTTGTTCCATTTAATCTTTATTTAAAAAAAAAACTATTATGTAAATTTTTGTAACTTTGTATAAAATTTCATTGCTAATCATGCATTACTTTTTAAGTAATACACATATTTATGTCTTGTTTTTCCTTATATTATTATATATATATATATATATATATATATATATATATATATATATATATATATATATATATATATATATATTCTTGATGCCCAAGTATTTTAATTTTAACTATATATATATATATATATATAAACATACACACAGACACACACTCACTTTTTAAGATGAATAAATATATTGATATTCTTCATAAAATTCAAAGATTCTACAATGTAATCAATCCTGAACAGACATCTCAACTTCAGTCACTTTCTCACTGATGGGATGTGGCTTCCCTCTGTCTTTTCTACAAATATTTTCATGGTAATTGTTCCGGTGAGCTTTCCTCTTTGGTGCCTTGACTGTATGAATTTAAGCATGCTACTATAATGGTAACTAGGTCTCACCAGTTTACTGTTGAACTAGCTAGATTCAACCGACACTTCCCACCCGTGTAACTCCCTTCCGATTACTTGCTACCCTGATAAATAAAATCTTCAAAAATTTAAATGCAACATCAATCGTTATCTTCTGTCTTTTTTAACACAGTTTCTTTTTTGTTCATTCCTCAATCCTCCGCATTTTCAGTCTCCTCATTATCTTTCACTTTTACTCCTTGTCATCCCGTCCTGGGTATGACGATAAACTACATCCGGCAGCAACGTTGGGAAGTTTTGAGGAACGTGGAACCAGCTCTTACCTGCTGTTGTTCGCAGGTCCACTGTGTCCTGGGGTGGTAGCACCTGTTAGGGCCCCAGCTATGGACAAATTGGGGTCAAAACACTATGAAAGTATAAAAGATTTTATAGTAAACATACTAGCAATTTTCATAGAAAAAAATGACCAACAATATATTTTTAAAAGGAAAAGAAATATACCATAAATTATCAGTAATAAAGGGTGTTCCAATAACCGATTTTAAATGTGAATTAAGTTTAAGTATCTAACGATTTTTTTATTTCTTTCAGATTTGGCGGATATTTGGGCGATAAATATATATATATATATATATATATATATATATATATATATATATATACCGCATATTTCCGCGTCATCATTTAGTTTTTCGGAGTGTATATAATGTGTGTAAGTTTATATATTAGTATGAATCTGTGTATAAGTGTGAGACCTCAACACCTCCGCAAGCATGTGTATGTCTTGTGTGGGTAAAAAATGTGAATAGGGCTTGATTTATAGGGTTATATATTAATTCTATCTATTTTGTTAAATTTGTGATTAAGCCCGTCTGGTTGGAGCATTCTGAGGTGCAAAATCCATTTGTCTTCATAGTCTTCTAAATTTTTTCTAATGTTATCTTTTCTGTATTTTTCTATTTTTTCAATATATACTGAATTTGGCATGGCTATTAAAATCATGTTTTTCCAGGAGGAAATCTTGTTTTACAGGTAATAATCTTAGCATAGACACATCCCCTTCCCAGAAACCAATAAAACTATCAAAATGACCAAGGGAATGTAGAGTAGCATGAATGTATCCAGCCTATATGTTAAAGAAAGAAAAACAGCTTAAAAAAGGCCGTTTGACCAACCCAAGTACTGACCAAAATGAAAGATAGAAAACAAATGAAAATTACAGAAAAAGTTCATTTTCTTTAGAAAGTCATTCATTCCTTTAGTTCACTGCTACTAACAAACAGGAATTCTTTCTCCTGATGATGACCATGCTGGCCGAAACTAGTTGAGGAATCTAATTGAAATAATAAAAAAAAAAAATATACCACCCAGTGTCTGAATATTTTGATCTTTTAATTTCTCAATATTTTTTATTGTTCAAAACATATATATATATATAGAGAGAGAGAGAGAGAGAGAGAAAAAAAGAGAGAGTTAATAGGATTGTTAGTAAAATTTGAAGAATATAAAGTCAACCAAATGATACCAGCATTGTCGATTAAGCGTTTGACTAAATTGAAGCATGAAGAGAAAGATTTTAATGTAGGAACTTTCGAACACGCCCGTGTCCTTTTTCAACGATACGACGAATAAACAAGGAAGTGGGACTTAGTCTACCAAGGAATGTACAATCAAGGGAGCTGCAGTCTGTGGTGGGGAGGTAGACAGATGTAAGAGGTAATGTGGTCGCAGAAATTGACTGACAGCCATGTCTGGATTGTTCTGCTTGTGCGGCAAAGTCCTGTTGCCAGACATAGGTTCTGCCAGAGACCACCCGCTTGACCCAAGGCAGCGCTACCTCCTCAGAGCACGTGAGGAAGGCCTCTGTGTTGAGTCTGAGGACCTCATAAACAAATTCGGGAGTTCTCTTCTTATCAAAACGATCAAAGTGAATTTTCCAAGCTACCGTACCTTCGTAATCATCATTAGACTCATACAACTCTTTCCAAGTCTTCAGATTGATACCCAAACACTCTGATAATGTTCGTATTGAAGATTCCGGCGCGAATGCCAAGCAGTACAGTATGCCGTTTCCAAATTTATTAGGGAGTGAATTGCGTCATGGTGCTCTCTTTTTTACGGACGGTGCCCAACTGACCCTACTATACTGTGTAGTCATTAAAATCAAAAGCAAACATCGCGCATGCGCTAAAATTTAAATTATAAAATAGCGGACCATAGCAACCTGTAGTTTGAACTAATGAACAGAGAAGGCGTGCAGAATCCGGATTCCCAACGTGCAAGCTACCAATCTGACACTGGTTGGCATACCACTAGCGTTTATAGCTGGTGGCCCGCTGTCGGACCGGCGACGTGCTCGTGTGCGCAATGTTACCACTGGTGGACCGCTAGAGGCCCACTGTTAGCTTGCTGGTGACTGTAATCAAAGGAACGATGGCGTTACCATCGGCGGACCGCCAACGAGCAACTAGTGTAGGGTTGCCTTTATTTTGAATTGATATTTTTTTAATAAATTACATCTAGAACAAGGCCAAAGAACAAAGATAAGAAACAACAGGAGAGTCTGATCGTCTACATCCAGAAGAGATATATATATATATATATATATATATATATATATATATATATATAGCATATCTCTTCTGGAAGTAGGCGATCAGGACTCTCTCTCTCTATATATATATATATATATATATATATATAAAATATACATATAAATATAAAATATATATATATATATGTATATATATATATTAAATATACATATAAATATATATATATATATAAAATATACCTAGTTTTCACTGTTTTCCTCGATGTAGTGCGCTTTTCTGCCTTTTGTACATTGGCGGAGAAAAGTAGCGTAAAAATCGGTAGCATTATCGGTTCGTGTGTGCTGTTCAAATTCTGCGACATTTGGCAAGCTCCCCGCAAATACCTGAGAATAGGGCGCTATTTAGTTCGTCTCGCAAGCCATTTTACAAGCCTCGTAGTTTGATGCTTTGAAATGTTCCAGCGCTGCTGCACCCTTTATACTAAATTAGGCCACGCTTAGTTAACTCTGAATATTTGGGAAATGTTTGCATGCCAACGTACGCAACTACATGCATCTCTCTCTCTCTCTCTCTCTATATATATATATATATATATATATATATATATATATATATATAAGAGAAAAGGCATATGTGAGATTATCTCTCCTCCTCCTCTCCCACACTCACTCACTCACTCTAATCCCTCAAGATAGATAGATAGATACCGGCAGTGTGAGATAGATAAATTGATACCAATATACCGTGAGATAGATAGATAGATAGATAGATAGATAGATATCGGCAGTGTGAGATAGATAAATTGATATCAATACACTGTGAGATAGATAGATAGATAGATACCGGCAGTGTGAGATAGATAAATTGATACCATGAGATAGATAGATAGATAGATAGATTACCTGCAGTTTGAGATAGTTAAATTGATATCGATATACTGTGAGATAGAGATAGATAGATAGATAGATAGATAGATAGATTATTGAATCAATTGATAGGTCTGCTCTAGGAAGGTTAGTACACTGTGCGAGACAATTTCATCTCTCCAGAATCTATCTTACGTATTTATAAGTCTACCATAAAGAGTGACTCAGTGGAAGCGTACAGGGCTCATAACCCAGAGGAACGTACAGGGCTCATAACCCAGAGGAACGTACATTGAAACTCCGCCCTGCTAGATGATGTTTTGAATGTGCGTTGTGGTGCAGTAGATATCGGCTCTAAGTGAGAACTCGGAGAGCAGAGTTCGAATTCCAGTGGAGTTCGTTAGATTCACTTTCGCACAAATATCATTGGGAAAGGTATGAATCCATCTAACCCCCCTCCCCCAGCTATGGCAGACTCGGTTCTTTAGTCTTGGTTGGTAACCAGTCTATCGCAAAAAAATGGCAACCTACTGCGGGAAAAATATACCTCGTCAGTCATGTATCGAAAGGTACAATGACTGATTCATCTATGGATTGAAAATTGCTGCAGCATCTGGTCTGCTATATTTATTATGTATCTAAAAATTCTTGATAAAATACAAAGAGGGATCTGCCATGTTAGTGCTCATCTCCTGGCATCTCGGCTTCAATCCTATTTTTCCTACCTCCGTAACGTAATTGTTCTGGTGACCTTTCCTCTAAGGTACCTAGACTCAATGAATTTAAGAGCAGCACTAGATTGACAGCAAAGGTCGCATAATTTTATAAGTAAAATGGTTAGATATAACCGTGAGTTCAATGCTAGAATTTTCTTCCCTCGCACTTCTCGCTTGTGGAACTCTCTTCTGGCTTCTTGTTTTCCAGCCAAATTTGATCTTCAAAAATTTAAAGGCAGTAACAATTGTTATCTTCTGTCTTCTTAATTTCTTCTCTTTTATTGTTCTCTTTCCTTAATAATCTTTTTATTATTTTCATATTCTCTCGCACTCAGTAACGCTATGCGTCTTATTTACTTTATTGCCGTACTTTGGGTGAAATGATTATATATATATCCCCCCATATATATATATATATATATATATATATATATGGGGGGATATGTGTACATGTGTCCTATCTAGATGAGGCTCCTTGCTACTGTGACGTTCAGCCCCGATTTCAACTGGAACTCATATATAAGATCCATCGCTAAAGATACCAGGATAATGATGAGCACATTCTATCGCTACAGAAAGTGCCTGACTCCTTCAGCCATGTTATAAGTTTTCAGGGGTCAGTTCAGGTCAAAAATGGAGTTATGCTGCCACATCTGGTCTGGAGCTGCTCAAACCTCATTTTTTCAACCTTCGAATTTGTTTGTGCTTTCTTGTAATGAGTGATTTATTTTCCACTCTAAAATCTATTTCCCACTGAGGCAATGTCGCAAGTTCATCATTACACGTCCAGAGAAGAAGCTGCAATATTATAGGTCCTGACTTGGCATCTCGGCTTCAGTCCTTTTTCCACCACTGCAATGTAGCTTGCCTCTGCCTTTGCTATAAACATTTTCATGATAAATATTGTGATGAACTTATCTCTATGGTTCCTAGGCGCTATGATTTTAAGCGCAGCATTAGATAGGCGTTAACATCTCGTCGAATTACTGTCGAAATGGTTAGTTGCAACCGGAAGTTCTATACTAATAGTTTCTTCCATTGCATTTCTCGTTTATGGAACTCCTTGTTTTGTTTTGTTTTGTTTGTTGTTTTTTTTTTGCTTCACGCTTTCCAGCCAAGTTTCATATTCAAAAATACTGTTCCTATTTTTTTTTATTCTCGCTCCTTATTAATCTACGTGGATACTTCACCAAAAACGTATCATTAATCTCTTTAATTCTAGTGTAAATAATTATTTATATGGAAAATCCTTATTTTCGTCTTGCTTCTACAATACGTTCACATCACACACCTCCTTCAGTAACGCTCTACCTTGAGTGATTCTTGAGCCTTGTATTGGGTGAACTTTGTTACAGTTTTTTGTGTATATAGGTTATGTAACTAGTGAGTTAGTCAAAATGACTTAATTCCCTTTATAGTCTACCAATAGAAGGTTGACCAATCAGAAGCCGCAGAACATTGTATCCGTCGTGTATAAAGGCGGCCATCTTTGTTTATCCTACCGGAATGACCAGTGCCAACTTGTCAGGCGAAGATGCCAGAAGGAAGAACTATGCTCTGCTACGATATCCACTGCGAACCTGAACTACGCTTTCCTACTGTCTCCGAAATATTCACTGCCAACCTCTAGATTCTATACTCGAAGACGACCGTCATGAATTTGTAACAAACTTTCATGATAAAATAAAATTAAGAAAGGATTCTATACAACTCCTCGATACTCTTGTGATATTTCTTTCTCTGTTCTTTTCTTCAAAGTCTGTATGTCGTGAAGGTGTTTAATTCTCCAAGCATTTCAAACATCATTTTGCGTCAGCTGTATTTTTATGGCTTTTATCATATATTTAAGACTTCTCCTTAAAATTTCTGCATGTGTCATAATCTGCCTACAGTGCACTCAAATATTTGTTGGATACAACATATCTTGACTGGTTGAACTTCGTTTTTTTCTTCTTTTGTTCATTAGTAACGATTCAATGTCAACATTCTCTTTCTATTAAAGCACTATTCCAAATATAAATATTTTTAAGCATTTCATGCTAAATAAGGCGAGAGTGTCACTAGTAAGCAGGGGGTTACAGAGAGTGAAAGTGAGAGAAAAGACTGGGTATAGGGGGGTGATTGAGGAAAGGCTAAAAGATGAACGGGGTTCAAGTCACCAGAAAATGGCGGTTGACATTGGATTTAATTTTTTTTAAGATTGTAGTTATCAGGGAAGCGTGTAAGAGAAAGGGTGTTCCACAGACGGGAAAATAAACTGTTACAGTAGAAGTTGCGGTTGCATATAACTATTTCAACAGTAAAAGAGTGGGACCTAAATGCCAATCTAGTAGCACGCTTAAATTATGTAGTCGAGGCAGCAGGTAAAAGTTGCCATGAACATATTTTCAGAAAGGACAGAGGGAAGCCACATCACGTCTGTGAGAAAGTGAAGTCGAGATGCAAGGTCAGGACCGATTACATTGCAGATCCTTCTTTATATTTTGTCGAGAACCTTGAGATGAACAGCATGGATAGCAGACCAGATATGGCAACAATATTCAATGCATGGACGAATGGTAGATTTGTAGATGTGTAAGATGAACTCTGACGAGAATAACCTTCTGGCACGGCACAGTGAAGCGACTTTTCTTGCAGCAGATGCAGCAATTGATTCAATGTAGCTGTCCAACCTCAAGTCAGTTGAAAACGTGAGGCCAAGAAGGCGTACTGAGATGCTCTCCAGGAGTCGAGCATAAACCATGCTGAAGGTGGGCAGGGAAGTTTTTCTTCGATCGTTAAACGAGAGCAGTTTTGTTTTGGAGGCATTAAAATTTACAAGCCATTTCTTGCCCCAGTTAACCACTGATTGGAGGTCTTTTTAGAGAGCAGTGGCCGGGTTAACTTTGTCAGCGCTGCCGGATTTACTATCGAGACAGGAGTAAATGGTAGTGTCGTCTGCGTAGATGCCTACTTGGGAACTGATGACCTCAGGAAGATCATTGATGAAGATCAGAAGCAGCATAGGACCCATGGTAAAGCCTAGGGAAACCCCAACGTTTGTATGATCGACCTTCATTTCACGATTTGATAGGAATGATTGGATTAAATCAAACACACGTCCAGTAATTCTGTATTCTTAACCTTACGTAAAAGACCAGCATACCAAACCCCGTCAAACCCCTTCGAAATATCTAGAGCCGCTGTTCCAGCTTCGCTGTTATTATCAAGAGCTTGATATATATATATATATATATTCAGTTATGGCCGCAAGAACATCAGCGGTAGAGCGGGCAAAACGGAAGCCATATTGTTTGTCAGCGAGTAGATCGTGAGAACTTTAAAATTGGTTCCTGAATCTATTATCCTACGTCTACAAGAAAGAAGCTACTCGGATTGACGAAGATACTATTAAAAACAAAATAACTATTTTTTTAGGATTTTGGAAAACTGGTCTGCCTGAGAACTTTTTTTTAACATCTCGTAGCCGAAGAATTTTAAAGTTAGAAACGGATACATCTGTCCGCATCATACGAATAACAGGGGTGTGCTTTTTCTCTGTACTTCCACGGCGACAATTTGGCATTTTAATATACAACATGGGAATTCTGAAAGAAAGATGGATACTTGTTCGTTTAATGCAAGTTGTTTTTATTAAATTCCCAACACGATCGTGCACAGTCTATGCGCAGAAATGTGATACAGGGATAACGGATGGTAAAAATACAAAAAAAAATAAAAATAAAAAAATAAAGAGACGTGGTATTTGTGTGAAAATGAAAGAACATGTACATCTCTCCGGCCTTCAAAAGTTAAGACAATAAATAAAAATAGGAATTTTTCCTAAAGTTTCTATTGTAGGGAGTTATATCAACAAAGTGAACATGGCGTCCCTGGCCTTGTTTATTAGATAAAGAAATAAAAAAAAATGCTAGCTTATCGAATTATAGTATGAAAATACTCGAATTTCTTAAAAGAATCTTTGATATTATTATTAATTTTTGATTCGTGTTTCCTTAAACTTATATTTTTTACATGTTTACACCTAATAGTATTATTAGATGTAATAGTATTAAATTGACTGAATCTCTTAGATGAAGCACTCATTTCATCTTGTTTTGTTGCTGGCTTACACCTAGTAGTATAAGTTGTAATAGTCTTACGTTTTCTGGATTTTTAAGATCAAGTTTTGTCATTATTATTAATTTCTGTCTCGTATTTCTTTCATTTCATTTTGTTTCTTGTTTACACCTAGTAGTAGTAGATGTAATAGTCTTAAGTTGTCTGAATTTCTTAAATGAAGCCTTGTCATTATTATTAATTTTTGACTCGTATTTCTTTCATTTTATTTTGTTGTTTGTTTACACCTAGTAGTAGTAGTTCGAATTTCTTAGATGTATCCTTGTCATTATTTAATATTCGAATATTTGTACAGATTATATTT